GAGCAGCAGGCGCCAGGCCCCGCCAAGTAGCCTCCGGGAGTGAGCTGGCACATGACCTGAGCGCCCAGCCCCGGACACCAAGAACCAACAATGCACCGACCCCTGAGGGCATCAGTCACCGGCAGGGAGTGTGGTGAGGGGAGATAGGCCTCCACACTTGGAGGGCCTGGGAGTTCCCAGAGAGGTGGAGTCTAAGACCCGACCTGACATATAGACACAGACAAACAGGCACACACAGACACAGACATGCATTCCTACCCTCATGCACACATATACAAACACTCAGCACTCACCCAACGTAGGAATAAACGTAAATGGACATGTACACACAATCACACTCCCCAAACATACTCTATACCCCGGGTCCAGGTATCCTCGCCCCCAGAGGGGGAAACGGCACCCAGACCCAAGAGATGTTACCCTTCCCTCCGGGGTGGAGGCTAGCAGACCGCCCCAGGCTCCGCAGCAGCAGGGAGGCAGTTTTGTATATAACTTCCATGTAATCAGTTTCTCACATCATTATGGATTCTGGCACATCTTCCTGTTGCCGTGGTGGCCGTGTCGACAGCCTCACTGTTCCACTTTGATGGATCCTGACTGGGCCATTGCAACACCTTCATTCTTTTCAGCTGCTCTGGGATCATTTCATTTTGCTTGAGTGCAGTTTTGGCCAAGTTTAGGCTGTCAGACCTCAAAACCATAAAGACCATACACTTTCTATAGGTTGGAGCTCTGGAGACTGGCTAGGCCGCCATTTACCATGAATTATACGATATATTCCATTTGTGAATCGTTGCACCAACAGCTGCCGCCGTGTCACCAGCTTCTTGCTGATGATCTTGTCCATTCCAGTCTTATGTGGGTCTACATGACAAGCTTTGACAGCTCTTCGTCCTTGCCCATGGTGATGGAGAGGTTGGGATGGAGGAAAATGCTTCTGTGGACAGGTGTGCTTTATACGTATAATGAGATCCAAAGAAGCCATGCTTGGTTAGTCTTCATCAAACTGTACTGTGAGGAACTTTGAACGCACTAAGATGTAGCCTCTGCAGTTCTTGCAGTTTCTCTGAGCGTTGTGTGACCTCGGGGTGACCTTGGTTGGTATGTATATCCTGGGAGGATTTCCATTTGTGCACGATCACTCTCACTGCTGAATGAGGGACTTTTATTTGTTCTGGAAATCGTGTTGTGTCCATGTTGGGCAGCACTAAGATTATTTCTGTGGTCTTTCCTTTTTAGCATACCAGAAAACTGCCAAACGGCTTTTACACAGGTGGTCCCAGTGTACATGTCACGTACTGGTTTCTTCTGAACAGTTAGTCGAGTGCAGTGATCAGCAGGACCTTATGTCACCTGGTAACAAGCTGCTTGTTAAACAATGATCATTATCACAGTGTTAGTGTGTCCTTAGTGTCTGATGTGTTTAATATAAACAGCCGTACACTCACAGAAATGATGTTGTAATTTACAGGAAAAGATTTTGTTCTTAACATCACTTATTTCTACAAATGTGACGTACTGGGATTTCATTTGGACTTCCAGTCCGAGAAGAGAAGAAAACCTTAGCTTGCAATGGTGTGGTGAAACTTTTTACAAACACACTAAAAAACAGACTAGACAGAGGTAGTTAAAAACAAACAAAATGTAAACACATACAAGCTATTATACTACAACACTGGGTAAAGAACAGGTCAGTCCTGAGTGGACAAATAGGAGAAAATACTGAGGAGTTACTACTGGCAGAGGTAGAAAAGTCAAAATGTGGATAAGCAACGTGAAGCAAAGTGCAACATTTAGCATCGACATGAAGCATGTGAACATGTGCGTGTAACACTGCAGCAACAAATACAGGCCCATCATCATCATCATCATCATCATCATGTCGTCTCCACTGAAGTTTCAGCTCACATGAAAAAGCAAAACATACGACTAAACAATCAGACACTTCCGGAGAAAGACAAACGTATAAATAACGTAAAACACAAACCAAAAATCTAATTTGAGTTTGATTTTGTTCCTTTTATTATTTGCAGAGCTGCTGTTTATTTGTGGTTATATTTTGCCCGGTGTTTCCTGCCTCAGTGTGGTTACACATAGATACCGTCTGCTCTTGGAAAACACGGTTATAAGAGATATAATTCTTTGATTTCTTCAATTGAATCTTAGGTTTTCATGGCGAAGAAATGGGAAGTTTTTCAATATTGGGAAAGATCCCAGGGTGACGATGCGAAAACGCTCGGGAACCCTGGAGATCGGCTTCCGCAGCGGAGGTCGGCCGGAGGACTACGAGGGAGAATACCAGTGTTTTGCCACCAATGACTTCGGAGTTTCTCTGTCCAACAAAATCCTGCTCCGGGTCTCCAGTAAGATCACAGAACACACTCATTCATTCATTCATCTGTGATATGCAGAACACACCCCTTGAAACTGTGGAGTAATAAGTGGATTCATGGATGGATGACACATATCTGTCTGCACCAACAGCTCAGTGCTAAATGTGTTTCTTATATTTTCAACTAATAGCTGAATGCTGTTGTTCATCTTTCCCCCAATCCTGCAGAGGCTCCTCTGTGGCCTAAGGAGGTGCTGGAGCCAGTATCTGTGACTGAAGGCTCCGCACTGGTTCTACCTTGCAACCCCCCACCAGGTCTGCCTCCTCCGTTCACCTTCTGGATGGACAGCAGTGAGTTTCAAACCCCAAATCACCAAACCCACTTCTTTTTCGTAGCATGTGGTATCTGTCTCCTCGCTGTTAGAGAGACACTTGTAGGAATCAGAACCCAGACTGGCTTCACCTATCAGTCATTCATTCTTAGGGATAACCTGATTGTTTTGTTAAAGTTCTTCAGTACAGCTACCTTGATGTATGAGGTGCATTTTAATAAAGTGATGTTTTTTGTGATTCCCGGCGCCTCGTGCTGCGCTGGTCCTTAGGCTGCGTCTGCACAAGTTCATGCCACTGTTAGCTGACAGAGCAGGCCTCATTAGCTGTTTTACAGCCAGAGGCAAGAAGCTATTTAGTTGAACAATACCAATTTTTATTCAGTCCAGTCTATAATTCTCTATGTAAACCTGAAACTGAAATATCGACGGGACATTTGTCCTGCTTGAAAACTGACATTGCTATAAATGGCTGTTAACCTGAACTGACCTGTTCACCATAAAGTGACACAAACACAGTCATAAACAAACAACAGGAAGCCAGAGCGGTTTGTCGTACAGCCCAGACACACCGATGCATCATTAGGATTGCTGGCTGCTGATTGGTCCTGGGGCTCTGTGTTAACAGTCAGAGGGGTTATGTCACCCATCGCACACTTACAATGGGGGATGCTTCGCCTTGACATCTGTGTGAGTGTACTGGTCTGTAGTGACTGTACAATAACACATCAGCATCCCACAGAGCAGACAGGTCTGGCCCGATTGTGGTTTGGTGTATGTGGCCCAGGCTCATAGAAAACAGCTCTGGCCCAGACCAGCATCAAGCTGGCACTTCTGACTGTGAGTGTACACTTTATCCAAAACCTAGTGAGGGTTTACTCACGTTTACCACCGGGTGGCTGTAGCTCAGGAGGTAGAGCAGGTCATCTACTGATCGGACGGTTAGTGGTTCGATCCCTGGCTCCTCCAGTCTGCCTGTCAAGAGTGTGAATGTAGTTAGAAAGCAGTCAGTTTAGAGAAAGTGTGTGAATGTGGCATGTTGTATAGAGCACTTTGAGTAATCCAGGAGAGTAGAAAAGTGCTATGTAACAATCAGTCCATTCACTGTCTGAACAGAGTTTCCTCATGTTACTTTTGCACTATTATGTTCCGGCACATGTTGTTATTACATGGCTTGATTAAGGCACACATTAGGCTGACATCTGGGCCCAGAGTTGAAACTGTTCTGGGCCAGCACAGGACCAGCAGTGTGTCTGCAACTGGCCATGTGCTGGCTCGTGTGTGGGCCACCTCTGGCAAACCAAGTCTGGGCCACCAAAGGGCTGTCGTTCTTTGCACTATGTGGGCCATGTGTAAGCACGTTGTGTGGGGCAGATCTGGGCCATACCAATTTTGCTTCAGCTGATGTTGATTTGAGTTATATGTGAAAATAGAAGCAGCAAACTGTCTCCAGTAGCCCTGAAGAGATTGTTACTTCTCCGTTTGTAGGTTGACATTTTGGCTTTTCCAGAGATCACTTATGTGTCATGGTAATACTTCAAGCAGCTATATATGGATGACACAACAAAGCATATAATGCCAAGCAGAGTCCATGCAACAACGAAAATATTGGGTGCAAATATTGGACCTAACAAAAAATTGTTGGAAAGATAACTTTGTTTTAGTTGAGAAATGTAGTCGACCTCTAGATCAAACATAGACATACTTGTGGCAAATATAGAAGCGGTCTGTATTTGTTTTATTAGTCCCAGCTGCTCGGATGACATGGCCCCTCTTTGCATTCTTTCACTGCAAGAGGAAATCTTGCATAGGCATTAAAAAATGGAAAAGAAGGCACTTTGACTCAACCAGATTTAAAAATAAAGACATCTCTGTTTAATGACCTGGAAGGACCACTTTACAGCCAAAAAACCGTTTTACATCTTTTCAGGTACACGCTGAGCTGCCCAGATCCAATCTAGCATTGACCGTTATTGAACTTGCAGCTGATATATGAAATCCTAAACTTGTCGATGTGGTTTCATTCCTTCTCTCTTATTCTTCATTTCTGTCTGTTCTTGTGACCTGGAGATATGAGTCCAATCCCTCAGGATAAACGAGTGTCCATGGGTCTTAATGGAGACCTCTACTTCTCCAATGTTTTGGCCCAAGATGCAAACACAGACTACAGCTGCAAAGCTCGCTTTCTGTTCACACACACCATCCAGGAGAAGAACCCATACAAACTCAAAGTTCAGACCAGTAAGTATGCAACACACACACACACACACACACACACACACACACACGCACACACACACACACACACACACAAACTAATTACCAGTTAGATCCTGAAGCAGTCAGTTGCCAAAGTGATTATTGCTGTTGTGTTGTTAGAGCTGCTGTTTCCTGCTAAACTCTTATCTGCTTTGTCTGTTTTGAACACATACACCACTTTAACCCAAGTAGAGTAAGACCCCATCTATCTATCTAGAGAGGATGTTATGACATGACATGCACGAAACCATAACCTTTGTGATGATTTCCTAATGCTGCCTCTGAAAGACCAGATTGTGAAATGTTGGATCGTTCTTCCAACAGTTTGTTTG